TGTATTTCTCGTTTCCTGGTTGGTTGCGAAGCTTCGGTTCCCTTCCGCCCTGGCGCCATGGCTGGCGTGGCGCCCTCCTCTCGTCCACTCGACGGCCAGGACTTCCACAATTCCCCGCATTCGCACATCCTGCACGCCAGCGTACTGGACCGTACTGGCGGCGTTCTCTCGGTCTTTGTGACAGGGGAGTCGTTTTACGACAACCCGTACGAGTATTTCGACTTCAAGCTCTAGGAGGACAGCGGCGCCCCGCCGCCTCTGCCCGCGCTGAAGGTCGGTCTTGCGCAGACTACGTCTGGGCTGCTCGCGGATTACAGGCGACGTTCCCCCCCCACAAGTGGAAATACGCACCGACGGGGATTCAGCCGCGAAGAATGAACACTTGATCGATGCGGTGTTCACATCAGCGGCTACGGCCAAGGCCCCCGGGCTCCTCGCAACTATGTTACGAGGGCCCTGGGAAGAGCAGCTTGAGAGAGGTGGAAAGTCCCCAGAAGGTCTGGCGACTGTCTTCAGCACTGCAAGGGACAGTGGGATTATCTGTCTTCGATCTTCTGGAACAGGAGTTATCGCCACACCCGCTCACCCCCTTCACTCTGGCAGGACGAGGTTCCGATGCGCACTCTTGATGACGATCGTGCAGTTAGTGGTGTTCAGCACAGCGCCAACACGACGCACGAAGGGCATTCCCACGAATAGTTTGTGAGATGCCCCGCTAAGAGGCGCCCCAGGAGATCCTCATATACGGTCACGGCGCCCGTGCCCACAGCCCAGGCGCGGTGGTGGGCTGGGCAGAATGCCATTCGATAGCTGCCAAGATCGTCACGAGCTTCCACTTCTCCTGGGGGGGCGGCGGAATTGCGTAGGCCACGTGAGCCTTGAGCCGACGTGGTTGTGAGGGAGCAAGAGGCATGAGCAGGAACAACATCAGCGACAGCGGCAACAGCAACATGGGAGCGACAGCGGCAACATCAGCGACAGCGGCAGGAGCAGGAGCAGCAACAGCAGCGGCAGCGGCAGCGGCGGCAGGAACAGGGGGACCAGCAGGAGGGTGACGAAAAACGCAACGCCCGCGTGCACCACAGCGTCTGTGTATACACCGCCTGTTCGTCTGCGTATCGTACGCATGCTATAAGAATTATACCCACGCCCCCACGTGGGCGCGACCGAACGTGGTCAGGTCAGCACACCTCTCGCGGGGACCGCGCCTCCCGGGGTTGTATATCTACCGACCATACACGTCGGCCTAGGGGGGTTCGGAATCCGCCATCCCCGCATCTGAGGTTTCAGGCGCGCGCGCCCGCCGATCCCCCCGTGGTGGGTTCACCGGCGCGAGCGTCATTGCTATAAGTTCCGCCCCTCCTCCTCCTCTTCCTCCTTCTCCTTCTCCTCTTCCTCCTCATCCTCAAGGATCCTCTGGATTCCTGAGGATCATTGTTCCTCAGGGTTCCTCCAGATTCTTCAGGGTTCCTACGGGTTCTCCAGTGTTTCTCAGGATTCCTCAGGGTTCGTCAAGTTTTTTTTGGCATTGTGAAAATTTCTCGGAACACCTCATGCCTCCTTCAGGAAGCCGCTGGAGATCTCTGAAGATCTCACAATTCTGAAGATTCTGTATTAGTAAGTGGTTGTAATTGGGACCAGTTTGGTTGCAATTCGCTCCGAACGTTTGGAATTGTGGGACTAGTTGGTTGGGATTCGTCCCATTTCCCCCGGGACCCCCCTCCCCCCCCCAGGACCCCCCCCGACGGGAGAGGAATCAAAGGGAAGGGACTCTCCTTCGACAGGATTACGGCATTGCTAACTTTTTTTCTCGCTGACAGGCTTCAGGGGGAAGGTGCTGGGAAAGGGAACGACGGAGACGACGATTGACGGAGACGACGACTCGAACAGGCAAGCCCATGCGCACACGCCGAACACACGACGACAGGGTCAGCGGATGTCGTCTAGTACGATTACGTACATGATGACGCTCATAATGCGGGTGAAACAGTTTGTTTTTCGGATGCCGTTCTCGAGGTGGCACTTGTCACATCTGTGCTTCTTCGTAATGTATGATTACACGCTGATGCTCAGAATGCGAGTGCGTCAGATGGCTGTTCTCACGCTGTTTTCGGGTTGACGCGTGTCACTCCGGGTGGTGTCGCCCAGAATGCGAGTGACCCAACAGGCCTTTCTCACACAGTCTTCGGGGTGGCACGTGTCACCCCATGTGCTTTTCGTGATGTGTGATTGCTGTTCGACGCGGTTCGTTGGGACGACTTGGAACGAGCGGGCGAACATGTCACGAAAGCAGTGTGGCACCACCGTCGGCAGGCTCTTTCGCAAGCCGTTTGAGGTCCTCGGTCATCTTTTCAGACGCGTAGTTTGCAGTCTTGGGGGCCTCGGGGTGCGTGCGCGCCAGAGTCTTTTAGTGGCTTTTTGGAAGCAATCTGACATCTCAGAGGCTTCTTAGGCCGTCTTGGAAGTCTCTCGGGGTCGCTTCGGGCCATGTTGGGGTCCTGTCGACACTGGTCGCATGTGGTGCAGCGGTGGTGCCGATGCTGTTGCCCTTCCTCCCTCCCGCCTCTCTCTGTCCTCCCCCTCATACCTAGACCTCTGGCGCCCTGAGGAAAGCAGGAAGGCTGGTCGCTGTGAGTTCGGGCTCGAGTGCCCACTTCGGCCGCGAGACATACCACAAACGAACCACGGCGCGAAGTCTTTGCGAATGAGCTCTGAGGCTCCATGTGTTGAAAAGTTCAGGACGTCGCAGGCCTGTTCTTCCCTCTCCCGTGTGGTAACATTTTGGCTCGACTGCGTCAGGAGGAGCGAATGCGGGCAGACTGAACTGACGCCCGAGCTGTCCCCAGGATACCGACTCGCTCGACGGGGCATTCTGCCGCAGGGCCAGCCGACGAGGGCCGCGCCGGCGGTGCGGCCAGGAGCGGGCAGGCAGAGCCATGCGCCATGGATGGCCCGACGCCCGCGCCCCGGCGTCCCCGGCCGCGAGCCATGGCGCGCAGCCCGTGCCGGTGTCGCCCACTGCCGCCAGCGGCGTCGCGCAGCCCGCGCCAGTGAGCCCCACTGCCGCCGCCGGCGTCGCGCAGGCCGCGGCCTGGCCGTCCGCGCGCTCGGCCGCGGGGCCGCAGCCCGTGGTCACCGCGGTGGCGCCCCGGCGGCCGGCGGCCACCGTGGTCACCGCGGTGGCGCCCCGGTGGCCCGACGCCCGTGCCCCGGCGTCTCCCGTCGCTGCTCGCGGCGCGCCGCTCGTGCCCGTGGCGCCCACGGCCGCCGCCGGCGCCGCGCCGTCCGCGCCCTGGCCGGCCACGTGCTCGGCCGGCGGGCAGCAGCCCGTGGTGGCGCCCGCGCCCGCGCCCGGGCCCGCCGCCGCTGGTCTCTGGACAGCGGGGGCGTCGGGCCTCACCGCGGTGGTCCAGACGCCCGCGGCCGTCGTCCGCAGCGTGCGGCCCGCGTCCGCGCAGACGGCCGCCGGTCGTTGGACGCCGGGGCAGCCTGTCGTCGCTGCGGTGGTCCGCGGTGCGCCGGGGCCCGCCCGCCTCTCCGAGGCCCTTCGCTTGCCGCTCTCCCGCGTCACCCAGGCGCCCAGCAGCGCCAGGCCCGTGGCCGGGCCGCCCTGGCACGCGGCCGCCGACGGCGGGGCGCTTGGCGCCCCGCGCCCATGCTCGCCAGCAGTGGCGCGCCCGCAGTCGCCAGCGGTGCTCGGCGCGACCGCGGCCAGGCCGAGGACGCCCGAGCCGCCCGGCGCCCATGCGCCCACGACGGCATCTCCCCTGCTCCGCCAGGCCGCGCCCGAGGGCGCGTGGGACCACGCTGCGCGCCTGCTCCGCGACGGCGAGAGTACCGGGGCGCTGAGCCCAGAGCTGACGTCCGTGAGGACTCGGCTGCGCGTAAGAGTGACCTTTCGACGGAGTGACTGCTGGTGCGGGCCCACAGGGGTCCCCCGATCGTCGAGCGCCGTGCGATAGCAGCGGCTCGCGAGCTTGGGTTTGGCCCCCCCGCGTCTCCCCGAGAGCCGCGCACAAAGGTCACCCTTGCCCTGGGGCACACTTGCGTGCAGCCGAAGGACGCTGAGCCCAGAGGCCGTGCGGACACTGAGCCCACAGACCAGGCCGCCCAGCTCTACGGCCGCCGTGGACGCGGCGCCCGAGCAGGCCGCCGAGCTGGCGCCCGCCGCACCGCCCCCGCTCCGCCAGGCAGCGCCCGAGGCCCTCCGCGCCCGCGCCGCGCACCTGATCCGCGATGCGGACTGCTCCGGGGCGCTGAAGCCAGCTCTGACGGCCGTGCGCGCCTGCTCGGAGACCAGCCCGCCGGGCCTCGCAGCTGCCGCCGGCGGGGTGCCCGGGCAGCCCGGCGCCCTGGCGCCCGCGGCGCACGCCCCGCTCCGCGAGGCAGCGCCCGAGAGTCTGCGCGCCCGCGCTGCGCACCTGATCCGCGATGCGGGGCGCACCGGGGCGCTTCGTCGGGCGTTGACGGCCGCGAGGGGCAACTTCGCAGAGGGCAGGTCGGGCGGGTGGTAGTGGGGGGTGACCCAAGTGGGGGGTGAAGAAAGGGCCCTGAAGGGGCATTTTAGGGCCCCTTTTGGACCCCTGCTGGCTTCAGAAGTGGCTGTAAACCCTAAAGTGCCCCTTGAAGGCCTCTTTTCTTCACCCCCCATTAGGTCAGCCCCCATCGCCACCTGCCCGTGCAGGGCTGGTGCCCTCTGGCCCCCGGGACTCCAGCACGCACCTTGTGATCCGGAGCAGCGCGACGAGAAGTGCAGAGCTGACGCTGTCACGGTGCCGTCCCCGTCCAAGGCGGCTGGGAGTTCGTGTCTCGTGATTCGCGCCATGGGCGACGCATGTGCGAAGTTGTGCCACAGGGACGTCGCCGTGGCCGTACCGCCGGGACCGCCTACCGCCACAGCTCAGTTCACCGATCGATTTCAGTCTCAGGTCTGGTCCACAGAGAAGTTTCCGCTTGTGCAAGGCGGGGCAGGCGGAGAACATCGAGGAAATTGTGCTTGAATGATTGAGATGTGAGCTAGTGTACCTATGAGAGATGGCACGTGGTATTCTCGAAGGAGGCAAACGAGTGGCTCGTCCTGTACAGGTGAGGTTCTGGCGAATGCGCGAAGGATGAGACTCTGAGCGAGGCTCTGAGCCGCTTTCTTGGGCCAGGCGTCGTGAACATCAAATTTGGCAATGGACTCGAGAGACTTACGCTGTTCCGCCGACCCCCAGAAGAGGAGGTGCACGGCTCCCGATTCCGTGCGTGCTGTTTGCCTTTTCCCTGCCTTGCTGCCTGCGTGTAGTTGTTGCTGTTTCGTCGTCCTCCTCTTTGCGTCTGCTGCGGGGTTTCTTGGGGCCTCGTTCAGGAGGGGAAGAAACACTTTTTGATTCGCGGGTAGAGAGCGCACCTAAAAAGAGGAGGGGAAGAAACACAGACACAATGAATCGTCGATTCCCACGAAAATATGGGAAAATATGGGAAGTGGGAGGCAAGACAGAAACCCAGAAAATATTGGAAAATATGGGGGATCCTTCTATCTGTGTATTTATCTGTGTGTCCCAGTTCCCCTTCACTCGTGGCGGCCTGGGGGGCGGCCTCCTGTAGCTATCTCGGGGCCCCGAGGGGCGTCCGGCGGACCCCATTGGGGGTCTCCCCGAGGGCCTCTTCGGGGTATGCTGGGCGTCTCGGGGGCCTCCTCGTGCGGGAGCTCTCCCTGGGTCCCCGCGTACGGGGCGTGAAAACGACCACAGCCACCGCTTTTCTTTTGCTGCCGCCTTCCAGCCCGCAGAAGCAAAGCAGTGGTTGTGGTCATTTCCGTTGAGCTTGTCACCAGGGAAATGACCACAGCCACTGCTTCTTTTTCGGCCGGCTGGAAGGCGGCGCAAACAAGAAGCAGTGGCTGTGGTCATTTTCCCGTTCCGCAGGGAGCTCTCCCTGGGTCCCAGCGGGATCCGCCTGTGGGGGCCCTCTTGAGGGGTTTTGGCTGTCCTGGGGGGCCCGTCGGCTGTCCTGAGGCAATCCGGGCCACCGCCGGGCCTTGAAGGGGGCCTCTCGGACCGCACTGGGCCAGTCTGGGGGGGCCTCTTGCAGACGCCCCAACGGGCGAGAGCGCAACCTGGAGTGTTCTTGTTGCCCTCTGCGCCAGAACGCGCGTTATGCCCCCTACCCTACCCCCACTCCCCCCCCATGACCTAACGCTCACTCCCTCAGTGCGTCCCTGGCACTGACGCAGTGCGTCCAGCACCACAGTCTTTGCGGGGGGGGCGCAAAGTTATGCCCCCTCCCGTCCCTCCCCTCCCCCTTCCATAACGTCAGTTTTGGCCGCGAATAAATGATATGTTCCTGTCATTAAAACACGTTTTTAGGATATCAATGACTCTTGTCTCTTGAGGCCCTCTTTCGGCGCCTCGGGGGCGTCTTGGACCGTCCTGGGGCCAACTTGAGTATTCTTGATGCCTCCCTGGCGTGCTGGACCCCTCAGGAGCCGTCATAGAAAGCATCTGGGGCATCTTGGCGGCCACGGAGGGTGGACTTCGTGGCTCCGAGGGCCCCGGCGGTGTGTTGACGAGCTCGTGGGGGACCCCCCCTTCCCAGGCCCCACTCCGCACTCGAATTGGATTCTGGACCTGGGGGGGGGGAAGAGAGGGGGGGGACGGCCCGCCATCTTACACGCCTGTTCCACCCGGGCAGGCGCGGGTCGGCGTGTTTATACGCTTCCTGTTCGGGGCCAGGCCTGCCCCCTCCGCCCCTGCCTCCGCGTAGGAAGCCTAACTTTTTCCATGCTCGGAAGAAACAACGACATAAACCTCATGTTTCCGAGGTCCGCGCGGGTTTCCTAGATCGGCGTTGGGCCCCACTGGCAGCGCCTCCGGCGCCTCCCCTGGCGCGCTCCGCGCGGCAGGGAGGGGCCCCCATCGCCGACCCAAGAAATCCGCGGACCTTCGAACAAACATGTACTCCAGATTTTGTAATAAAGGGGGGAGGGGGGTCTCATTTCGGGGGGGTCTCTTCCAGGCTATCTTGGAGGGCCTGGGGGGTCTGGGGACGATGTTTTGGAGGGTTCTCCCACGGGGGAGGCCTGAAACGGCTTGTCTTGGAGGGTCCAGACCCCCTCCCTTTTATCACGAAATCTGGAGTATATGCAGTCGTTTGTTCCTCTGCTCTAGTCCCCCCCCCCGTCTTGCGCCCCGCCCCGCAGCTCCTCCGTACCCTGGATGTCAGGAGGCGCCGCCTTTCGGGGGGTGCCATGGGTGGCCCTTGGCCCACGGAGGCCTCAGCGTTCCCGGGGGGGCCCCGAGGTCCTCCCGGGCACCCCTCGCGAGGCCCAGCAGGCCTGAGAGGCCCCCCAAATGTCAGGAGGAAAAGAAACACACAGACACAATGAATCCTCGATTCCCCAGAAAATATGGGAAAATATGGGAAGTGGGGGGGAAGACAAAAACCCAGAAAATATGGGAAAATATGGGGGATATTTTTATTTGTGTGTATTTATTTGTGTGTTCCAGTTCCCCTTCATGAGAGGCCCCCCAAATGGCGCGGACAGCCTGGGTCACACTCGGGGGCGCGAAGATAAACGCGCTTCGCGCGTCACGGCCTGGGCCGCCAGGCCAGCCTTCTCCAGGGGGCGGCGCGGGGGCGCGCAGAGAACGCGCATCGCGGGGCCCGATGCGCGAAGTGAGGTTATCTAGACAGTTGGGGGCATCTTGGGCCACGGACACCGTTGGCAACTCCCGATCTTTTCCTGTGAGCGCAGGCGCGGCTCCCGAGGCGCGCCTCCTCGGTTGCGGTGCCCAAGCTTCCGCGCCCAGGGTCAGCATAGAAAAAGCGGCGATGAAACGTCGGGCGCGGTGATTGTGTTTTGCGGGGCGCGGCCGTGGCTTGGCCAAGAAAAAAGGAGAGGGCAGGCTCGGCTTCGAGGGCCCGTCAAGTCCGATCAGGAGGAGGAGGAGGAGGAGGAGGAGGAGGAGGAGGAGGAGGAGGAGGAGGAGGAGGAGGAGGTGGTGGTGGTGGTGGTGGTGGTGGTGGTGGTGGAGGTGAGGTGGTGGAGGTGGAGGTGGAGGTGGAGGTGGAGGTGGTGGAGGTGGTGGTGGTGGGGGTGGTGGTGGTGGTGGTGGTGGTGGTGGTGGTGGAGGTGGTGGTGGTGGTGGTGGTGTGGTGGTGGTGGTTGGTGGAGGTGGTGTGGTGGTGGTGTCTCGTGATGGTGTCGTGTGGTGTCGTGGTGGTGTCGTGGTGGTGTGGTTGGTGGTGGTGTGGTGGTGGTGGTGGTGGTGTGGTGGTGGTGGTGGTGGCGGTGGTGGTGGTGGTGGTGGTGGTGGTGGTGGTGTGTGGTGTCGTGGTGGTGGTGTCGTGGTGGTGGTGTCGTGGTGTCGTGGTGGAGGTGGTGGTGGAGGAGGAGGAGGAGGAGGAGGAGGAGGAGGAGGAGGAGGAGGGAGGGGAGAACGATGGGGGAGGGAAGGGGAGGGGGAGGGGGGGAGGAGGAGGGGGAGGGGGAGGGGGAGGGGGAGGGGGAGGGGGAGGGGGAGGGGGAGGGGGAGGGGGAGGAGGAGGAGGAGGAGGAGGAGGAGGAGGAGGAGGAGAGGAGGAGGAGGAGGAGAGGAGGAGGAGGAGGAGGAGGAGGAGGGGAGGAGGAGGAGGAGAGGAGGAGGAGGAGGAGAAGGAGGAGGAGGGAGGCGGAGGGGGGGAGGAGGAGGAGGAGGTGGAGGAGGAGGAGTGAGGTGGAGGAGGGGGGCGGGGAGAGGGGGAGGGGGGGGGAGCGGGAGAGGGGGGATGGGGGGCGAGAGGGGGAGGGGAAGGCGTCGCGCGGCACGTGCCCTGGCACGTTCCCTTGCACGTTCCGTGGCGCGTCCCGTGGCGAGTCCCCTTGGCACGTCGCGCGGCGCGTCCCCTGGCACGTCCTTGGCACGTTCCGTAGCGCGTCCCCTCGGCACGTCCCGCGGTGCGTCCCCATGGCGCGTCCCTTGATACGTCGCTTGGCGCGTCCCTCGGGACGTTCCGCGGCGCGTCCCCGTGGCATGTCCCCCTTGTTAATTAGCTCTGGTGCATCTACTATGTGCTCAGGCAGCTCGAGCTTCAGATCCAGATCACATCGGTCAGGACTCGGATGCAAAGGAGGACTCGATCCACAACGCTAAACGCGACATGGCACGTCGCAATTCAGCACGGCGCAGCGCAGCACAGCCCTTGGCACGGTACATCAAGATCGATACATTCAGCATTGCAGCCTGGCACGTTCCTTGGCACGTTCCGTGGCGCCCGTGGCGCGTCCCGTGGCGAGTCCCCTTGGCACGTCGCGCGGCGCGTCCCCTGGCACGTCCCGTGGCACGTCCATTGGCACGTTCCGTAGCGCGTCCCTTTGGCACGCCCCGCGGTGCGTCCCCATGGCACGTCCCCTGACACGTCGCTTGGCGCTCCCTTGGGACGTTCCGCGGCGCGTCTCCGTGGCATGTCCCCCTTGTCAATTAGCTATGGTGCAGCTACTATGTGCTCAGGCAGCTCGAGCTTAAGATCCAGATCAGTTCGGTCAGGACTCGGATGCAAAGGAGGACTCGATCTACAACGCTATAGACCACAATCGCGGCATGGCACGTCACAAGTTAGCACGGCGCAGCACAGTACAGCCCTTGGCACGGTACATCACGATCGATACCCTCAGCATTGCATTTGCCCGTCGCCCATTCAGATGTCTTTGAAACTGTGACCGTGCCTTACATCTCTAGATTTCTTTCCGATCATGTTCTGCCTTTCGTCGGGCTGTCTTTGAGGCCTCTTGGGCCCCTCTTGGGAGCATCGGGGGGCGGTCTTGGGGCGGTCTTGGGGACCTTGGGCCGTTCTGGATGCTCGTGAGGCCGAAAAGGCGAGAACGTGGAAGTCATGCCAGAGCCGCGGATTTCTGGACGATTTGAATTTGGGCCAGCCTTGAGTGGCTCGAACACGGCCCAAGAGGCTCCCAAGACGGCTCCAGCACTGGTCCGTAGCTTTCTGGATCGAGTTGCATTGTGTTCATTAGTTGCGCTCA